CAGCCTTCCAAGTAGCCGGAACTACAGGCGCGCGCTACCACGCCCAGCTAATTTTTGATTAATTATATTTTTTGCTTTATTGTAGAGACGAGATCTCACCATGCTGCCCAGGTTGGTCTCGAACCCTCAGGCTTAGCCCATCCTCTCACCTCGGCCTCCCCAAGTGCTAGGATCACAGACCAGCTCTTAACATCCTGGGCATGGAGATGGTCGTTTATCCGTTAAGCACCGTGCATGCAGTGCTTACATTTACTGGGCCCAAAAATAAATATTTGAGACCTAAAAATAGTTACTCAGTTGCAAAATTAAAAAACCTTGCAAAATAGTAAAAACAGAAATATTTACTTAAATAGCTACCCCATGAAACATCAGGCCAGTGTTATTTACTGCAAAGCATATGGCTGATAAAGATTCATACAGACAAATTATAGGATAAATTTTCTCACTCTGCAAAAATGCCTGCCAGGAAATCATAGCCAATGACAAGTGTTCATGATCAGAGTCAGTCACGAGCACGTGGGAGACAAAAGCATATGGTGGTTAACAGCTCAGATGAAGTTCAAACCTTAATGTGACCATGACAAGTTACTTAACCTCACTGTGCCTCCATTTCCTAAACTGTAGAGAAAGTATCTGGATTACTTACCAGATATGGCTGTTGTCAGGGTTAAATGAGGTAGCATATGGAAAGAGGTTAAAGCAGTGCCAAATATTTAGAAAGTTCTCAGTAGGAGACAGTCGTTGCTAACACTTATGTCCAAATAATTTCAAAATATATTTCAAAATTGTCTTAACAACAGATTACTTTTATTGATGACTGCAAGTACATTTTCATATACTTTGCCTGCCATGGTGAAATAGCCAGGGGCCATAAAAGGTCTTCAAATGGACCTGGCTTGTCTAAAGCTATCCTGATCTTGTGCAGGTGCTATTCAATGTTCAAACAGAATTAAGTTCAATCATTCCAAGAAATGCAAAGTCTGGCATGGATATGGTAAGTTGACTGAGGCAGGAGAGTAGCATGAAGCCACGGTCTTTCGAGGTGCCCAGCCCACCCCTGGTGGAGGAATCAGCTTTCTTCAGATAATGTGACTTCTAATATTCCTACAGCCCAAAAAAGCCTGAGCCAAACGTTGTGTTTCTAAAGTTAAAATTCAAATTTGCATCACTGCATTACCCTCAGTGCACTGCTTCCCCCTTGGGAAAGAATGAAAGGAAAAAGGCAGGAAGAGAAGAGACACCGGTCACCGCACCTCGCAGGAGGTCCCTGTGTAGCCTGGGGGACATTCACAGTGCTCCACGTCAAAGGCCACGGCCAGGTCTATAGCATTAGGGCTAGCTATGTCCAGGGAGACAGACTCCAACCTGCGAATAGACAGGGGACATTACATGATGTACGTGCTTGCAAATGACATCTCACACTTCAGTGAATATGGGTTCCTAAAAGATTTAATTCTAACAAAATGATGATGTGATTTTTGAAAATAACTCAAGATGTGTACAAAAATGCTCTCTGAAAGTCACTATCATTCCCTGCAAATGCTTTCCATACTCAGCACGAAGATGTGCTGCTGCCCATAGACTGCTATGGGAAGGGTCTGGTTCTATCTCTTTGAAGTTGAAGCACTTCAGAAAAATTAATCCATTCAATTATTTTAGCACTGATACAGAGATTGCCTTTAAATGTGTCATGTTGTTTTTGTGACAGCTACCTCCAACTTTTGTTCTTGGCAAAGTATTACCAGAAATTGTCCTCCTCAAAGTTATAAAATGACCAAAGATGGACACAGTTGCTTGAACAGACTGTGTAAAACCTAAGACCAAGACCATCAGGAGAGCGAGAACCAGATGTAATGTGGCACAGACAAAACTCATCAGACATTTCTCAGAAATCCTCCTTTTAAAAAGTTCCTGATCCTGGCCGGGCACAGTGGCTCACGCCTATAATCCCAGCACTTTGGGAGGCCGAGGTGAGAAGATTGCCTGAGCCCATGGGTTCAAGACCAGCCTGGGCAACTTACAATAAATAAAATAACTAGCCAGGCATAGTGGTGGTGAGTGCCTGTGGTTCCAGCTACTTGGAAGGCTGAGGTGGAAGGATCACCTGAGCCCAGCAGGTTGAGGCTGCGGTGGCCGAGAGTGTGCCACTGCCCTCCAGCCTGGATGACACAGTGAGACTCAAAAATAAATAAATAAAATAAAACAATAAAAAATTCCAGATCCTAACATCAAATCTGTCTCCTACTAGGTACCCTTGTCATGGACAACTATTCTTATATCTTCAATAAAAGTGCATGTATAAAATTAATCATGTTTGAGATGGTCAGTTCCTTTAGCTGTGTCCTTAACATAATAAATGTAAAATATATGAATTTTTCCTCCCTTTTCAATACATGCCTGTAAAGAGCCATTTTTGCAGAATTGTAGTTGGCTCTGATCAAAAGATGGGTCACATTGGCAAGGACAGTCATCAGCTGGTCCCGATCAATCTCCCTTTTGTTATTAAAATCTCGGAAGTTCTCAGGCACAAGCCTAACCACGTTAAAGTACTCTTCGTAGGGCTGCAAGGACAGACCCTCAGCCTGTGTGCTTAGAGTGAGTCCATTTCCCTAAAACATTCAAAAACAAGAGAAAAGAGATTTGCAACTCCGTTTAAGGATCAAAAGAATAAAATCAAAACGTGTCTTCAGCAATATGGTTTCTCATTTGTGCTTAGCCTCTTGCAAATGTGGAATGATGTGTGTCACTCTTGGCCCCAGAATTATCAGAGGAAAGGTGTTTCACTGTATTCTCCTTAGAGGGCTTCTGGTAACAAACGGAAAGGCTGTGCGCTTTGCTGGGATCTTGGAAGAGAAACCAAGTCTTGTATTTGCCCACAGCTGTTATCAAATAGCCCAACTGACATCCCTAACCTTTAACTAAAGTACAGACATAGAAAAGATATGTAAACATATCTCCAGCTTGGCATAAGATTGCTGTTAACAAAAGTGATTTACCTTCCATGGTTTTCACTTGTTCAGGGTGGCGGCGGAGGAACAGATCATGTCAGGTGAAAGGACACCGGAGAAAAGGACCTGAAGAGGTTTGTGCCCAAATGTGCCCCAAGCCCTGGGACATTCCCACTGTGGGAGCTCTAGTGGGTGAGCTAAGCAGGGTCTTTTTGCGGGGAGTGAGAATAGAGGGACAGGGACAGAGATCAAGGACAAAAATGGCAATGTATCCGCTGTCCCCACACAGCCAAATACTGCCGTATCCATTCATTTGGGAGGCAAAGCTGCTTAAAGGGGACTTAAAAGGACAGATTTAACTTCGTGATGAGCAAAACCCCATCTCCTTTTTAAGTGTGAAAAGACAAAAAGACGGGAACATCCTGGGGATGGCAGGAAGGGCAGCAGGTGCTATCCAAAGCAACTCCAGAAATGGGCTCAAAGACAGATCACCATCCTCTGTCTCCCAAGTGTCCACACGAGGCCAAGCTCTGCTGTATGGTTACCTGATCACTATCTCCTTGCTGGGACGGCCTGGACTAGTCACTTTCCATCATAAACTATCACTCCACCAAACCCCAAACTATACAGCAAAAACAATTACCTTAATGATGATATCAGCATGTGACATGAGGTCACCATCTACCGTCTCCACTGGAATATCATAAGACACCGTGTATTTCAGAAAGCCACCAAATGCTGTCAGCTGAAACATTTAAGCAAGAATGAACATCAAAGAGAAAAGCAACCATAGCCCCTGAGTAAAAGGAAGTGGCCATTACAATCCATCTGGAAACAACTAAGCCACAAGCTATCCCGGGGCTACAATCTGTAAGGACATTCACATCAATGCCAGGAAAGGAATCATGTAAATATTCGATGAATGTTTTGTTTAATCAACACTACCAAAATGTAGACTGTTGCTTGAATGCACAGAAGAAAATGTACTCCTTCTCAGAGACCTCAAGGTAAATGACCATAAATGTGTGTTAATAATACAATAGCCGGGTGCGATGGCTCACGCCTGTAATCCCAGCATTTCGGGAGGCAGAAGTGAGAGGACTGCCCGAGCCCAGGGGTTTGAGACCAGCCAGGGGTCTCTACAATAAATTTTTAAAAAAATTAGCTGGGTGTGGTGGTGCATGCCTGTAGTTCCAGCTACTTGGAAGGCTGAGGCCAAAGAATCTCCTGAGCCTAGCAAGTCGAGGCTGCAGTGACTGTGAGCGTGCCACTGCACTCCCTGGGCAACAGAGAGAGACTCTGACTCAAAAAAAAAAAAAAAATCACACAATAGACAGTTATTTCACTTAAATAATTTTAAGGGGATGGGGAGTCTGAGTCATGACTACAATTTCCACATTTTGATTCTGTTTTCCTGCTTGGAGAACAATCGTTAAAGAAAGGATCAGATGTCTTCAATGTAAAATCTCTCTGATGGATATATGACAACAATATAGTGTTCAGAACCCAACCTTGCAGCATGCAATAGGAGAGGTAGTATGAAGAGAAAAATCACTGAACTTTGTTGATAAAATCTTTTTTTAAATAGAGTACATGCTTTAGGCTTATAATTTGATGAAAAAAATCATTTCCAAAAATAAATATTCCTCAAAAATACACACAGCTAAGTATAAAACTGAAATATAACCACCAAATTAACTAGAAACTTACCAAGCTACAAGACTACACTACTACAAAGCGTACCATTACTCTGAACCAAACCAAATTCTCCATAAGAAGAGCAGGGAGCTTTGGCTATTGAGATAGTTTCCCCTCAATGTATCTTCAGATCAGTTGAAATCTGGAGGGAAGGGGCGTAATTGGGGTGGGGCCATGGGAACACATCACACAAGAGAAAGTCCAGTTCTGTAAACCAGTCTCCACATTGCAGAATCAACCTTTAGCATTTTCTTAAAATTAAAACATCAAGCATCCTCCCTGTCCCTAAATGTGAACCTTACATGACCAGCCTATCGTGATACTGCAAGTCAGGGAGTGGCACCACAGTCCCATTGCCGGAATCTTCCCTCAGTGGCTTCTACAGGCCAGGTCCTCCACTCAGCCATGAAGCACTCAGCTGAGTCTACAGCCAACTAGGAAAAGCAGGAAAGTGATTGACACTTCACAAAGGCCCAAGTGACCCAGGAACCCTGGGGAGGAAAGTAGAAAGTCTGTCTAGGAGAAGGGGATAAGACTTCACCAAACAGACTGCTCAGGAATTGGGTCAAAAAGAGCCTAAGTTCATGTCTGAATGATGCAATAAAAGGCCAGATAAGCACAGAAAAGATCCCGTGTATCAGATATAAGTAAAACCTGTGAAATGCTGTCAAACATCCAAGTGACCTAAAGGACAACTTAATGCAAACAGAAGTTCTTTTTTAAAGTTCTCTGAGCTCTCCTTCCAAGACGTGGTTACTTCCAGCCGCACGCATACCTTATTTCCCAGGTAGGCCTCAGGGGCAGACCAGTAGTACTGGGAAGCCAGCCTCTGCATGACTGCAGTGTTGTTGATGGTGACCTGATGACGCCCGCCCAGTGCATCCCGCTGAGACTGGACCTTCCTTGGGCTGATCAAGTCAGTGACCAGCCACCCAGACATATTGCTCACCTAAAAAAAAAAAAAAAATCCAAGAATTAGAACGTGGACTAGAAGCCACGTTAGATTTCACTCAGCTCAACACTGTCTTCGCTATGAAGAAATACCCAAAAAGCCTCACTAGGGATGGTGTTAACAAATGCAACTGTAGGATCTCACAACCCTCGTCCCTTCCACTTTTAAGGACCAGAACACCTGCAACCAAATCACACATACCCCCCAATCCAGTTCCATTAGAAGCGAATACATGAGCAAAACCATAAAGGCTATGGAGAGAGATTTCAGATTTTAAAACAGCAAAGGACTTAATAAATGCATTGAGTAAAATGTCTCTTGCTAACTCTGACTCCCCTCCCCTGTCACCCCCTGCTTTTTACGCAAATGCTGAAAAATGTATCCAGATCCTATATTGCCAATCTGTCACCTACGTAGAGATGATAGTGGTCCCCCCCATGTAGAGAACACAGTTGTCACGGAAGTTAAGTCCAGTGCCTGGCGGCTCCTCCCTCATTGCCAGCTGTCACACTCTGTCTCTAACCCTAGTCACCATTTGTCACCCTGATGAACCCATGCCCCCAGAACTCCCCTTCTTAACAACTTTCCTGCATTTATAAATCCCATCCCATCTGCTACTGTTTCCACCCTTGCCACTGGAGTGCCTCCTATGCCTCAACCTCTTTGAGCTGGGAAGTTCTCATGAGCCCATGTCCTGGTGTGCTCCCTGGCCTGACACCTGCAGAGGCAGGTGGGGTGAGAGCTAACCTCCTCTCTCGATGTGTTTCCCCACACAAGCCGTCTAAACATGACTCATTCTACAGTACCATGTCATCCCATAGGGGATGCATGTGAGAATAAGCATGTGACCTGTAAAGAAATTTGAGGGGCATTCTTAGTAGTGGGCGGCCTTCGAACCAGCATCCTTTCCGAGGCACTGCAGCAGAGTCACAGGGGAAGTTGCCCCCACAGCTTCCTCACAAGCTCATAGAGAGCCGGTGCCAGACACCCTGTCCATTAAATCTCAGCTAGCGGATGGTGCATCCCACCTGACCAACGGGCCACGAAAGGCTGTCGCAGACATCAGAGACGCCAAAGCAGAAGCATTCAGAGCAGCCCCTGGGATTTCTTTCCTTCAGGTTATAGAATCCAGGCTTGCAGCGGTCACAAGCGTTCCCCTCAACATTTGCCTATAAGTTGGGGTAAAAGATTAACTTTTGAAAACCACATGCCCAGAGAAGAAAACGATACTAACAAGACGAGTGTTTGGTGATCCGCAGAACAGGTAAGTAACTAAAAGTCCAAAGTAAATGCAAAGCCTCGTGAAGTATTCCCAGAATAGATATTTTGAACTAAATATCATTTGATTTTTGTAGTCAAGAACAAGGCAGTGTATCTTAGAGCTTGGTCATTACATTTATATTATTTTTGTTTGTTTGTTTTAAATCTTCTATTTTCGCTGATCTTTCAAGCATTTTAAAGAAGAGAGCTATATAATTGTTTGGGCTGTTCATAAATACTCAGTATTATTTTCAGTCATATATAACATGTGCCTAGAACTGCCTATGTGGAAATAAGCACATAAAATACAGCAGAAAATCCTACAAATTATGATGAAATTGTTATCAAGATCACAAGGCCAAGTTAAATCCCTCACTGGCACCAAATTATCCTTTTCTTATAATTGTTTGACTTCTTTAAAAAAAAAAAATCTGCCTTTCTGGGCATGATAGCTCATGCCTGTAATCCCAAAACTTTGGGAGGCTAAGGCAGAAGGATTGTTTGGGCCCAGGAGTTCAAGACCTGCCTGAGCAACATAGCGAGACTCAAAATACCAAAAAAAAAAAAAAAAATCTACCTTTAACTAGTGTTCTTAGAAATTGTTTATCTAGTTCTCCTCCAAATATGAAGCAGGGAAAGAATGTCATAGAAAAATGAAGCTAAGGCCTAAGAAAAACTATGCAGGGCTTGGTTTCCTCTGAGAAGTCACAGAAATTCCTCTGGAATATATGATCATTGCCAGAGGTACAAAGAAAGTCAGGTACCTATCTGGGCCCAAGGACATATGATACAGCCAACCCATGTGACACGTCATGCTTCTCAGGAGGAGGGGCAAGGGGCTGTTCTGCTTAAACCTCACCACTTTGCTCAAGAACTGAGTATTGGAGCCAATGGAACATGGTCCTTTTTCAGAAAAGCTCAAAGGAAACTCGGGGTGTCTCTGATTCCCCCTCCCCCGCACCTACCTTACAAAGACAGGGCTCTGTGCAAGGATCTTCATTCACACTGCCAACTGGGCTGCAGTCACAGGGGACGCAGCTTGGGTAATTCTTGTAGCCAAGTTGGCAGCGATCACATTTTTCTCCTGCATAGCCTTCCTTACATGGACACTGACCTGGCCACTTCCCTGGAGAGAAAACAATGGCAGTGATCCAACAAGAAGGTAAATGGGGTTTATGGCAGGGGTTGGCACACTTTGCCTGTAAAGGGCCAGAGAGTGCATATTTTAGGCATTTTGGCCATAGAGTCTCTTTGGCAACAACTCAACTCAGCCATGATCTAACACAGCCATAGAGAATCCATAAGCAAATGACTACAACTCTGTTCCAATAAAACTTTATTTGCAAAACAGGCAGTATGCCAGATTTGGCCCATGGGTCATAGTTTGCCAACGTCTTGGTTAAAAAAAAGAAATCAGATACGAAAGCCACAGAGAGAGGCGGGAATAAAAAATGGAAAACCATTTGGCATTTTTTAAAAAATGTTAAACATAGAGTTTTATCATATGATCTTGCAATTTACTCCTGAGTAAGCACCCAAGAAAAATGAAAACATATGTTCACAAAAAGCTTATACGTGAATGTCCATTGCAGTGTTACTCATAATAGCTGAAAAGTAGAAGTAATCCAAATGTTCATCAAGTGATGGGTGTGTATACAAAAATGTGGGCTATCCATACTATGAAATATTATTTGACAGTAAATGAAAATGAAATATTGATACGTGCTAAAACATGGCTGACCCTTAAAAACATTATACTAATAGAAAGAGGCCAATCACACACACACACAAAAACAATATATTATGCAATTCTGTTTATATGAAATGTTCACAGTAGGTAAATCTCTAGGGAGAAAGTAGATTGTTGATTGCCAAGCGCTTGGGGAGGAAGGGGCAGGGAGGGATACAGAGAGAAATGGGAAGCAGCAGCTGATTGCTAAGGAGTTTCTTTATAGGGTGATGAAAATGTTCTGGTATTAGAGCGTGCTGGTGGTTGCACCCACGAATACACACATAAACATTGAATCATATGCTTTAAATGGGAGAACTATATGGTAGTAAATTATAAAACTATTTTGTAACAACATCAACAGCAACAAAAAGCACAGAGGTAAATGGTAGAGGGAAGCCAGCAATATCTTCTCTTTTAATGCCAACTTCGAAATTTCTCTAACTATAAGCTTGGCCAAGTTTCTTAGCTGCTCAGAGCAACAGTTTTCTTCCCTACAAAATGTGTTAAATGATTTGTACCTGCCATGGCTAAAAATTTGAATAATATTTTCTTTTTTTTTTTTTGAGTTGGAGTCTCACTCAGTCACCCAGACTGGAGTGCAGTGGCTGCTCCCGGCCACCACAGCCTCAACCTGCTGGGCTCCAGTGATCCTTCCAACTCAGCCTTCCGAGAAGCCGGAATTACAGGCGCGCACTACCACACCCGGCTGATTTTTTGATTTATTGTAGAGATGAGGTCTCGCGGCCCAGGCGGGTCTCGAACCCGTGGGCTCAGGCAATCCACTCACCTCAGCCTCCCAAAGGCGCGGGATTACAGGCTGAGCCACCGAGCCCGGCTGAATAATATTTTCTTAAATGGATCCAATCAAGGGTAATTTTCATCATCATCAGCTTCATCATCACCAATATCCATCATTAGCCACATGTAAGAATCGTTCAGTTGAGTAATTTCCCCTCCATGTTCCTGGTGGGCCCCACAATTGCGCATCCATCCCTGCTTGTCAATATCCATTTTAGCCGCCAGTAGCTGAGAATTTAATGGGGTCACAGAAGTCTTTAACAGGTGCAACCTATTCAGGAGACTCTGACATTTGCAAGTCCATTTACCAGTTTTTGAAATGGAAAGAACACTGACATTTACCAAGTTAACTGGAGGATTTGCTTGCTTTGTGAGATGATGTATGCAAAAGCCTTCCAAATGTCTTCTAAGAGCTAAATAGAGCAACTGCTATTTACTGAGCTCTACATATGACTTTAAACAAGACTTATTTCTTCTTTCATCACATTCTCAATTATCTGCTCAAATGTCATTTCATCACCCCAACATTGTACCTTCTTACCCCATCTCTCTCCAATTATGATTCCTAATTTTGCTTTATGCCCATGGCGCTATGTATACCTGGCATCATGTTACCAATGTACTTGTTTGCTTAGTGTCTGCCCGAGCAGGTACCTTGTTCAAGTATATACTCCCAGGTCCTAGAAAACTACCTGATACACAGTAGGTGCTTGATAAATATTTGGTGAACAAAAGAATCAATAAAAAATCAATCATGCACAGATTGTTACCCAATGGTAATAGTTCCACTAGATACAAATCTCCCACCAGAAAAAAAATCAATTACAAGCACAAAAACGAATCAAGTACTTGCCATTATGTAAGTCAGAATGGAGGTCATCCTTAATACAGACAGAACTGAGGGACCCCACAGGGTCACAGTTGCAGGAACGGCAAGGCTTGTCCTCATAAGGAGACACCTGAAAGACAGAGGTTGTTCAGGATTATCTTGCTAGAAATAAGAGTAGTGACAACAGCAATTATCAAGATCAGACTGTTGCAACGATTTTGTTTATGAGGGAGTGTAGGTCTCAGGAAATCTTATCAGGTGATCTCAAGCCAGGAAGCCCAAAACATTTTTGATGGTGACAGCAGTTATAGAATCATCCTTTCCTATCATCACTGTTACCTAGCACCTCCACCCGCCAACCCTGGTCTCTCTCAGAGCCACACTAGAACCAGACTACCACAGGGACCCGTGTAACAACTAAATATCAAGTCAATTAAAGATTGACTGAACACCTCCCATGGGCTGAATCTTCATATCTACAGTTAGTATGAGGACCCAAGATCACACAGCGCATGAGCCCTGGAATTCAGTTAAATAGCAACGAGTGAACATCCTACTTTGAGCAAGAAAACAGAACAGACGGAATAGAAAACAGATATCTGAAGAGCACCACTAGCATAACAAGGATATGAGTGAAATATTGCAACAGGGAATGAGTCTCTAATACAGAGGTTGAGACTTGGTAAAGTCTCTTTTCTACCCTGAGAAGACAGCGAGGCTTAGCTATGGGGAAGAAATGTTCTTACTTTGTGTGGTCGATAATATCCATCGATGCAGGTTTCACAGTTGATTCCCATGGTGTTCTGCTGGCAACTGATGCAAACCCCTCCTCCTTTGAATTGCCCAGCAGTATCCAAACTTCTCCCCTGACTTGCAACACTTTCATCATAGTAACAGTCTTTGGCTTTATTGTGACAATTACACTCTAGGAGAATATTTTAACATCCCAGTTAATTTACATAGTACATTCTATATAAAGAAAATGTTCACCTCCCTAAGTTTTTATGATTAGAAATTAAATTAACATTTTAAAATAGATCACTTTAATAGGATATAGGCAATATTATGGAGGATGACTGGGAAGAGCTCTGTATACCCACTTGACCCAGAAACCATCTTCTGGAATCTACTTTGCAGAAGTACTTGTACACTTGCGAATGATACATACAGAGTTATTTACTGTACCACTGCTTGTGTTGACAACAAACTGATAACCAAAATACACATTGATAAGTAACTGTTTAGATAAATCATATTATATCCATATAAAGGGATTCTGTGCAACTTTTTCAAAAACAGCATTTCAAATAGCTGATATGGAAAGAATTTCAAGATACATTGAAATTCAATAGAAGATACAATATAGAAAGCACCGTGTGGCATGGCATGCAAAGTATATCATTTTCTGTGTGAGAACGGTATTGGGAGTAGAAATACATTACTACATGTTTTATTTGCATAAAAATTTTAGAAAGTACATACTAGAAAATAATGAAAAGTGGGAAGTATAGCGATGAGGTAGAAGGAACGTTTTTTACTATATACTGTTATATATAGTTAGATGTTGGAATCTTGTGACTATTTTGCCTATTTAAAATTTAAACCCAAATTAATACAGAATAAATGAACAAATAAGAAAGGGAACTTTACATAAAATATCAAATCCTTAAAGATACATTTAGATGTCAACGGTTTAAACTTTGCTAAGGTAATATGCAGCTTTGGAAACCATTTAACTTTCTGAGAAAAGAAATTCTCTACTAACTACAATAGTTGTTAAGACATCACAGATGTAAACATACTAAGAAAAAAAAGACCACATTTTTCAAATTCTAAGTGCTCTTACCTTCACATGTGTTACCGGAAGAAATGGTTCCAGGCCTCCAGGGCTGCTGATGGTACCCAGGACAGCACCTGTTACAACTCTCTCCACAAGTGTTATGCTCACACTGACATTGCAGTTTCTAAACAGTCAGGAATATAAAATTTGATAGGAAAACTTTACCTGCTTATTTTCTAAAAATTTATTTTAAAAAGAACCTATTAGTTAAATATGTGGCAGGACTTTACAACAGAGGACATTTGACTGTATCAAAGCAAACTGGCATTTAATTTTTAGAGAAAAATATATACACATAATCTGGTTACAAACAGAAGGGAGGAGGCACAAAACAAAGCTAGAGTATGACTGACTAACAATTACTTTAAAAAAATACATGGACTTTAAGGGTTAAGATGCTCTTATTAATAATTTTCTTGATGTTCACCTATATATTTTTCAGATCAATGATAAAACAGTCCTATTCAGGAAGTAAAGAATTACAAAGAATAAGTAAGTAACTTCATGTACATTTTTTAAAAGGAGAAGATGCCCTATTATTCACTTAATATTATGCCAAAAGAGATACATTTTATTTTATCTTGATTTAGTACAAAAAATAGAAGGGGAGAAAATGGAAAGAGGAAAATTTTCCTTTTAAAAATAGAACAAGGCACAGTGGCTCATGCCTATAATCCCAGCACTTTGGGAGGCGGAGACGAGAGGATCGTTTGAGCCCAGGGGTTCGAGACTAGCCTGGGCATCTTGGCAAGACCTCACCTCTACAACAAATAAAAAAATTAGCCAGGCATGGTGGCATGCACCTGTTTCTGGCTACTTGGAAGACTAAGGCAGAAGGATCTCCTGAGCCCAGCAAGTCGAGACTGCAGTGGCCATGAACATGCCACTGCACTCCTCCAGCCTGGGCAACAAGAGTGAAACTTTAAAAAAAAAAAGTAAATATAATTTATAACTGTACACATTTTTTGCTTGACCATTTTATAGACAGAAGAACTTCAAAACTCACTGAGTTATACACTTTAAAATGGTAAATTTCATATTATGGGCATTTTACCACAAATAATCATAGTGAGAACTTAATTAGAAATATATCTTCCAAATGAAGCAAAATGAAATTGTCAGAAAGTTAATTTCCTAAAAAATTTCTTTTACATTGTCTGAAAGTTATTTTTTCCCCAGCATAATTTTGTACCTTTCAACATTCGTTTTGAATAAAAAAGAGTAATACAAATAGAAATAGCTACAACTTCTATTTTGAAGTCTTAGTAAAATGTAAAATACTAGGAACTTACCTTTGCAGTTTCATCCCATGGGCAGCTACTAGCATGGCCATAGCAAATACACATTCCTCCAACAGAAATGTCCTTTATTGAATAGTAATACTAAGGAAAAAGAAAACAATGAACAAAAATTAAAACCTCTTTTTAAGAAAAAAGAAATGTTAACACACCAAAAAATATCTCAGGTGATTTAAGAGATGCTATTGGTAATCTAAAATACAATTATATGTGCATTTAAAAATTATATTTCATGCAAAAGAATCCTTGTGCTCAGTTAAAATAATAATGTGCAAATGAGTTCATCAACATAATCTAAATGAGTTAAAAGAGTTTCCCGACTTGGCTCTGTCTTAAACTAAGACAGTAATTTTCAAAATCAGTTATATTGAAATCCCCCCCAAAAATGAACCTTTGAAGACAAAAAAAAAACATCGTGAGTAAGTAGTATTTATCCCACAATGCAAAGTTAGTCTAACACACAAAAATCAGTAAGTATAAATCACCACGTGAACAGAACAAAGTGTTTTCATCTTAAAATCTGCTCTCATCACTTCATCATGGTTTTTGATGCATTTTTTTTTTAGATTTTATTTTCCATTGTTAACTGCAAGTGTATAAAGGTGTGATTTGTTTTTGTCTATTGGTTTTGTATACTGTATGTTATTTATAGTAGCTATTTTGTAGATTTTCCATGTATATCATCATGTCATCTTCAAATAATGACTACAAATTGACTTGCATGCTGTTTGCCTTTGATCTCTTTTTTCTTGCATTATTGAATACGACCTTTACAAATAAACACTGCCAAGGGGAATTAAAGAAGACCTAGATATTGCCTCTCTGACTTTTGGCTAGGATCAAGTAAAGAAGACCTAGATAAGTAAAGAGTTGTAGCATGTTTATGGATTGGATGACTCAGTATTGTTAGACTGTCTTCCCAAATTCTTTTCAAATTTATCTAAAGAATCAGTGGTGTGCCAATAAAAATCTTAGCAGGACTTTTTTTTTTTTAGGAAGTAACAAACTTATTCTAAAATTTATTTATAAGCAAATACAAGGAACTTAGATTAGCCAAAACAATCTTTAAAAAGAACTAAGGTGGAACACTACAGTACTTGACCTTGAGAAACACTAGAAAGCTACAGTAACAAAGAAAGTTTGTTACCGGCATAAGGAAAGACAGATCAATAGAATAGTAGACATTCCAGAAATAATAAGGTCAAATCAAATAGTTTTCAACAAGGGCGCCAAACAATTTAATGGAGGAAAGTGAAGTACTCTCAACAAACAGTGCTAGAACAATTGTGTACGTATATGTATATGTATATGTATATGTATATGTATATGTATATGTATATGTATGTGTATGTGTATGTGTATGTGTATATGTATATGTATGCAATTGTATATGGGAAGAAAAGAACCTTGACTACTACCTCACACCGAACACAAAATTAATTTGAAATGGATTAAAGACGTAAAAGCTAAAACTATAAAGTTACTAGAAAAAGCACAGGATAATATTCGAGATAAGTAAATATTTTTTTCAAGGGGTACAAAAAGCAATTCCAGGCATGGTGGCTTGTGCCTGGAATCCCAGCACTTTGGGAGGCTGGGGCAGGCTGATGCTTGAGCCTAGGAGTTTCAGACCACCTTGGGCAACGTAGAAAAACCTCATCTCTACAAAGAACAATTAAAAAAAAAAATTAGCCAGTCATGGTGGTGTGTGCCTGTAGTCCCAGCTACTCAGGATGGTGAAGTGGAAGGATCGTCTGAGCCCAGGAGGTTCAAGGCTGCCATGAGCCATGATCATGCCACTGTACTCCAGCCTGGGTGATGGAGACAACAACTCAAAAAAATAAAATAAAAGACGTGGAAAAGTATTAACCATAAAAATGACAAATTGAACTTCATTAAAAATTAAAACCTGCTCATCAAAAGTTATAGTTAAGAAAGTGAATAAGTAAATTCCAGACAGAGAGGTAGATATTCTGTATCTGACAAAGAAATTGTACATAAAATATATAAAGGTCATTTATAAGTCAGTAATTAAGAGACAATTCAATGTAAAAATGGACAAAAATTTAATCAGATACTAATAAACACACGTTCAACACTAGAAATCAGAGAAATACAAATTAACATCCAAGATGCCAATATGCGTATATTAGAGCAGCTGGCATGAAAACGACTAATGACACTAAAACACCTACATGAGAGTGTGTGTTGCAACCAGAACGCTCACATATTGCCAGTCAGATTGCAAAACAATACCGCTTCTTTTGATAAAAGCTTCGCCTCTTCTTACAAAGTTAAATATATAGCCACCTGTAGCTTAGTAATTCCACTCCTGGGTTATTGAAAAAAATATGAAAATATTTGTCCACACAGGCCTTGTATGCTTCACTCCATATTTAAAATATCTATATGTTTCCCTGAATGTAAATTTTGCCTCCAACTTTAAAATTTGAGACACAAGGGAAACCCTGACTTGCCAAATATCGTAGGTGGAACCAGACTAGAATGTGAAGAACAAAGACCACAACCCTCAATATATTATGGCAATATAGAGACAGGGTGGAGTGAGGGACCTGAAGATATGATGTCAATACCATCACCTAGTTTAAAAGTTGCATTTGTGTCTAATTATATCCAGCAATCTCTGACAAAACGAGGCTATAAACAACTGAGAAGAAAACAAGGTCAACCTGGGAGGAAAAGAACAGAAAGGAAAGAAGAAAATAATATTTCCCTTAAGCAAAATAAACTTTTCACAATGGCAGGAGTGCATCATACACTCACTCGTCTGGTAACAATAGGATCCAGGTCTTTAGGGTCCCGGTGGCTGAGGGTCATGAGATCCGCATTGAGTGTTCTGATTCGCTGTAAGCGAAGGCGAATATATCGTGCAGAAGTGAATTCTAACAACCTGGGTGAAAGATCATCGGCGCTTGGTCTGCCATTGATTAGCGATGTATGAATCTGAGGACGAAGACATCAAAATAATCTAATGTCAATTTTAAGCTTACCAAAATATAGCCCTAGTCGTCTAACATCAGGACATAATCTTTACAAAGATACTACCAAAAACCCAAACAAATTAACTTGTTTCTTGTAAAACTCCATCTAACGTGTTAATGACTGGTGAATTACCATGATCTCACCATATTGTCAGTTTATTAAAATTATCCATTTTAGTGTCTCAGAGATTGCTGGAAATCTTTAAACAGGATCACTTCTCCCAGTGTGGTGAGAATATGTTAACATCTATCATTAGGCATTACTTCTCTAAAGCAAATTCTTTTTTTTTTTTTTTTTGAGTTGGAGTCTCACTCTGTCGCCCAGACTGGAGTGCAGTGGCCGCTCCCGGCCACCGCAGCCTCGACCTGTTGGGCTCTGCGATCCTTCTGCCTCAGCCTTCAAAGCGGCCGTAACTATAGGCATGCGCTACCACTTCTGGCTAATTTTTGATTTATTGTAGAGATGAGGTCTCACCAAGTTACTCGGGTGGGTCTCGAACGCGCAGGCTCAGGCAATCCACTTGCCTCAGCCTCCTAAGTGCTGGGTTTACAGGTTGAGCTACCGAGCCTGGCCCTGAAGCAAATTCTAAGTGCCATGAATAGGCTGGGGAGAACAAGGAAAAGGTGCCAACAAGCCTTAATGATACCCATTCTCTCTCTTTTTTTTTTTTTTTCTGAGTTGGAGTCTCACTCTGTCGCCCAGACTGGAGTGCAGTTGCTGCTCCCGGCCACCACAGCCTCGACCTGCTGGGGATCCAGCGATCCTTCTGCCTCAGCCTTCCGAGTAGCCGGAATTACAGGCACGTGCTACCACGCCCAGCTAATTTTTGATTTATTGTAGAGATGAGGTCTCGCTGCCCAGGCGGGTCTTGAACCCGCGGGCTCACGGGCTCAGGCAATCCACTCACCTCAGCCTCCCAAAGGCGCGGGATTACAGGCTGAGCCACCGAGCCCAGCTGATACCCATTCTCTTAAGTAATCTCTGCCCTTGAAACAATGCAGAGCTTGTTGCAGTGCTCCTGCTACGAAGAGGACATGAGAGTTTTTGAGGTGTTATCTCAAGCAGGTACTACTATTCTATTCTTTACTTTATTCTATTTATTTATGTGTTAACTCATGTATTCATTCATTTACTTTATTTAATAGGAGTCTCACTCTGTCACCAAGGCTGGAGTGCAGAGGCACACTGTTGGCTACCACAGCCTCAACCTGTTGTGCTCAGATGATCCTACAACCTTGGCCTTCCAAGCAGCCAGAACCACATGTGCACCACCACGTCCTGCTAATTTTCTGATTTATTGTAGAGACAAGGTCTCAAACCCCTGGACTCAGGTAATCCTCTCACCTCCGCCTTCCAAAGTGTTGGGATTATAGGTATGAGCCACCGCGCCCAGCAAGCTCTGAATTTAATGAGGTGTATACAGTCTGAGCTGTAAGACTTCAAGGACCATCTCCCAGGGCTCAACAGCCAACAACAACAAAAAAGGAGGACTTTGTGGAGAAAACTGGGGTCTACAACTTTTAGAGGTATTTAAGTTTTTTTTTTTAATATTTCAACAAACGTTCTTGCCCTAGTGTTATGGGAAAGATGCTCTGAAGGAGGATCTAATGGAATGATTAAATCACAGCAGAGTGAAGACTGAGAAATCTCCCTGAAGAGAAGAAATCAATAAAGTAAACTGTACTGGTAGTGAAATTAATCTTAACAGACACTCCCCAAGGCTGCCTTAAATAGAGCTAGATTAAAGATCTTTGTATCGAGATTTGTATTGATCTTTGTTTCAATTTTGACTGTTTTAATGTTGGCTCTTACACTGGCTATCTTTTATTTTATTTTTTTGAGTTGGAGTCTCACTCTGTAGCTCAGGCTTGGGCTGCAGTGGCATGTTCGTGACCACCCCAGTGCCAACCTGCTGGGCTCCGGTGATCCTTCTGCCTCAGACTTCCAGGTAGCTGGGAATTACAGGGCGTGTGCTACCACGCCTGGGTATTTTTGTGTGTGTGTGTGAGTTGGAGTCTCACTCTGTCGCCCAGACTGGTGTGCAGTGGCCGCTCCCGGCCACCACAACCTCGACCTGCTGGGCTCCGGCGATCCTTCCGTCTCAGCCTTGGAAGTAGCCGGAATTACAAGCATGCGCTACCATGCCCGGCTGATTTTTTGATTTATTGTAGAGATGAGGTCTTGCTGCCTAGGTGGGTCTTGAACCTGCAGGCTCAGGCAATCCACTCACCTCAGCCTCCCAAAGTCGTGGGATTACAGGTTGAGCCACCGAGCCCGGCTTATTTTTTTTTTAAATTTTACTGTAGAGACCAGGTCTCACCAAGTTGCCTGGGCTGGTCTCAAACCGCGGGCTCAGGCAATCCACTCACCTCAGCCTTCCAAAGTGCTGGGATTACAGCCTGAGCCACCGAGTTCGGCCTCTTTTTTTTTTAAAAGAAGAATTTATTGAGAGGACAGAAAAGCTCCCACAGTGGGAGGGGACCCAAAGGGGTTGCCCTACATTGGCTATCTTAACATTGACAGCAGGGGACTCTGATGCAAAGACAGGTCTCACTGTAGTGGACACAGGACCTACCTCTCCATGCTCCAGTGGCACCAGTCTAGAATAATACGAGGTGCAGATCACTTCATCATCGGCCCTGTAAGTGGGTGGTCCCCGTCTTGGAGTTATATTGTAACGAGTCAAACATTCCGTGTCACTAACTGCGTAATACTGCCAAGGGCTGAAAGTGGTGCCATCCAGAGAATGCTCCAATATCCAGTTTCCGGGTCGAGGGGCATTGGCAGCTTTAATGATGACATATGCCACTTGAAAGACCTGAAATGAAGACAATGAAAAATCTCAATCCAGAATCAATATAAGACAGACCCAGAAAGACAAATAGCATAGGATCTCATGTACCCATGGAATCCAAAATAGTGAACTCATGGAAGCAGAGAGTAGAACAGTGGTTGCCAGATTCTAGGAGGGGAGGAAAATCGGGAGACGTTAGCCAAAGTGTATAAAGTTTCAGTTATGGGAGATAAGTAAGTTCTGAAGATCTAATGGAGAGCATGGTGACTGCAGATAATAATACCGTACACTGGAAATTGGATAAGAAGGTAGTCTTGAGTGTTCTCATCATACGCACACAAAAGGTAACTATGTAAAGTGACTAATATGCTAATTACCTTGATTGTGGGATGATAGTTTTCACAGTGTATACATATATCAAGTCAAACTGCACATCTTAAATGTATACAATAAAAATATTTGAAAACAGAATCAGTAACAACCGCTCAAAAACCAAAGTGCATTTTGAGAGAATTATTATATAATGACTGCCAAAGTCTATTAAAGCTTTTGAGTATAACTGCTTATGCAAGTTAATCAGAAAAATGTAGAGATGAGGGCTTGTCAAGTTACCCAGACTGGTCTCGAACCCCTGAGTTCAGGCAATCCTCTCACCTCAGCCTCCCACACCCAGCCATGCATTTGTTTGCAAAATAAACTCAATAGGTACTCACAAATGAATCTGTTGTTATTGTTGTTATTCTCAACATTAGTATTACCATAAGAGCTTATTCTCTTGTTTCCAATATCTTTCTTAATTTTTAAAAAATTAAAACAGAGATGAGGTCTCGCTATGCTGACCAGGTTGGTCTTGAACTCTTGGGCTCAAGAAATCCTCCTGTCTTGGTCTCCCAAAGTGCTGGGATTACAGCTGCCTGGCCAATAGTAGTGTTAAGTATATTTCTCATAGTGATTTGGAGATGATACAGCTGAATATGAAAAAATAATCCACCCACAACATATCTATTAGAAAGGCTAAAATCCAAAACACCAAATGCTGGTGTGGAACTCTCATTTATTGCAGGTGCAGAAGCAAAATGGTACAGCTACTTCGGAAAACAGACAGTTTTTTCACAAAATTAAACATACTCACCATATGATCATGGTATTTACCCAGATGAATTGAAAACTTAAGTCTACACAAAAACCTGCACCATATTTGCCAAAACTTGGAAACAAACGAGAAGTCTTTCAGTAGGCAACAGGATACACATACTACAGTGCATCCAGACAATGAAATATTATTAAGTGATAAATAGAAACGAATTCTCAAGCCACAAAAAAAAGACATAAAGGAACCTAAAATGCATTATTACTAAGTGAAACAAGCAAATCTGAAAAGGCTACACACTATAGGATTCCAACTGTATAACACTCTGGAAAAGGTAAAACGATGGTGACAGTAATAAAGATCAGTGGATGAGCCGGGCTCGGTGGCTCAGCCTGTAATCCCACGCTTTGGGAGGCTGAGGTGAGTGGATTGCCTGAGCGCTTTGGGAGGCTGAGGTGAGTGGATTGCCTGAGCCCGCGGGTTTGAGACCCGCCTGGGCAACTTGGCGAGACCTCATCTCTACAATAAAAAATTAGCCAGGTGTGGTAGCACACACCTGTAGTTCTGGTTACTCAGAAGGCTGAGGAGGAAGCATCACTGGAGCCCAGCAGTTAGAGGCTGCAGTGGCTGGGAGCGTGCCACTGCACTCCAGTCTGGGTGACAGAGTGAGACTCCAACTCAAAAAAAAAAAAAGATCAGTGGATGCCAGGGGTCTAGGGGGAGAGACAAGGATGGGGGGAGGGAGGGAAGGGTGACTAGGTTGGTGCACAGGCGATTTTTAGGGTATTGGATCTATCCTGTATGGCACTGTAATAGTGGAGACGTGTCCTTATACATTTGTCAAAATGCATAGAATGTACAACACTCAGAGCGAACCCTAATGTGAACCCATGGGCTTAATAATAATGTATCAATATTGGCTCATCAGTGATAACAGATGTACCATCCTAATGCAAGATGTTAACAAGAGAAACTGAAGGGGTGGAAGAGAGTGAGACAGTATGTGGAAACTCTGTGTCCTTCCTGCTCATTTTTCTATAAACCTAAAACTGTTCCAAAAACGTCCATTCATTAAAAAAATAAGAGTAGGGAGGAAGCAAACTGGGGGAGGGGGTGTGGAGGGGGGAAGAATGTAAATGATATTTATCAGTACCAGGAAACTAGTCAGAAAAATCCTGGATTTAGGAGGAACCCTCATGGATATCTAGCCCCTAATCCAGCTCTAAGAAGGAGTCATCTCTCCAAAAACCCAGTCCCACCTGAAGCACTTCCAGGGACAGGAAATTCACGAGCTCCTAAGACAGTCCTTCTGTTTTATGACAATGCCCTTGTTAGAGGATTTTTTTTTTTTTTTACATTGATTCAAGGTCCTCTGGAGCTACAAAAAAGATGTTGAACTCCACTTTCACTGGGCTCGGTGGCTCAGCCTGTAATCCCACGCCTTTGGGAGGCTGAGGTGAGTGGATTGCCTGAGCCCACGGGTTCGAGACCCACCTGGGCAACTTGGCGAGACCTCATCTCTACAATAAATCAAAATGAGCCGGGCATGGTAGCGCATGCCTGTAGTTCCAGCTACCCGGAAGACTGAGGCGGAAGGATCGCCGGAGTCCAGCAGGTCGAGGCTGCAGTGCCACTGCACTCCAGTCTGGGTGACAGAGTGAGACTCCAACTCAAAAAAAAAAAAGAAAAAGAATTCCACTTTCACATTCCTCTAAATATTTGTATAGAACTAACACAGATCACCTCCAGGATCCAGAGACTTCTCATTTTTAGCTTCAGCATTCTGGTTTCCTGAAAACATCCATCATTTAACAAGAGATCATCATCACCTTGTCATGATGCTCTGGACACAACCTTATTTTAAAATGCAGTTCCAGGAACTGAATACAAAACTCCAAATGTTTTCTGAGTTGTGAAGAACATAGTGAAAATAACACGCCCCTCGTTTTAGCAATTCAGCCTTAGCAAGCATTCAGTTTTCTGAGGGTAAACTTTAGATCACTAATTCAGATTGGGGCTGCAAGAAACAATCACAAAAACATGGCTTTCTCTCTCTCTCTCTCTCTTTTTTTTGAGTTTTCTTTGTTTTTATTTTAGAAAAGAAACTTTTAGAGTAAGTTTGTACACAGTGGGAATGATCTAGTAGAGAAGGACATGTGGATGAGATTTAATTTTGTTTGCTAGAGTAAAGCATTAGAAAGCTTGATTTGCTCTGTTTGAGAGATGTATAGGAAACAAATTGTCCTTAGTACTAGTATTCATTTACAGTTGTACGTTAAGAGGATTTTCCTTCTGAATTGGTTCAGAAATAGAAAATTGTCATGCAATTAAACGTACAAATGGTATCCTAAAAGTTAAACTGTCGAGCATAGATTTTTCAAATTTATGTAATAATAAACATACAATTATGTAATAATAAACATACAATTCCATCTCATTGTAATAACTCAGTTCGCCTACCATAAGTGTGCTCCAGTTTCATTTAGTCTGCAAGTGACGTGTGAGTCTGACATTTTGGCTATCCACGTTAATGTGCTACTTTTCTCAAGCAGGCAACCAATACTTCTCAAGCACATTCCATGTGAAATAATGTGCTCAGGTTCTGATGATAAGAACAAGGAAGGACATTCTCATGTCCAGTTGTTTTGTAAGAATTTTCATCAACAAAGTAGAACTCTATGAGCATGTGGGTTGTGATCATTGGCCACGGCTGCACATTGAACTAGACTTTACAAAGTGGAGATGCCAAGTAAGAGGGGGTATGGGGGCAGTCCATTTCAGAGGGATAGACAGAGAGTCAAGGTCATTTACAAAGACATCTGAAGTGGAATGTATTTACTTTCTGTTTTCCAGTTTCACATTTGAAAACGAAAAGAATTTAACAGGTCTACCACATGCTTACGAACTTTCCACATATTATCTCATTTAATCGCAAACCCCATTATTGTTTTTGTTCCCATTTTACATATTTGGAAACTGATGTAGAGAGGTCAAGTAACAAACTGCTGAGTTGCAGGTTCCAATAAGAAATCAGGTGGTCTCACTCTAGAGTCCTTAGCCACCTTGCATACTGCCAGTCCTCGAATGTCCACACACACCTAAGATTACTGAACTTTACTATTTGTGATACCAAAAACAAAACAAAAAAAGCACTTCTATAGTCACTCGGAAACCAGGTTCATATCTAGAAGCAAAGTGGCATTAGTTTCAGTTATTCTGCAGTTTCAGTCATGACAGTCTAGGCTGAGTAGGGAGAGGGGATGGAGAATGAATGTGCAAGAAACAACAATTAATGTCTCCCTATGCCAATGGAGAAAAGCTTCTGCAAAGCAAAAGAAACCATCAAGAGAGCGGGGAGACAGCCCGCAAATGGGAAAAAACATTTGCCAACTGCATATCTGACAAAGACCTAACATCCATGATTTACGAGGAACTCAAATGTCCCAAAAGGAAAAAATAAAAATAAAAAAACAATCCCATTAAAAAGTGAGTGAGCAAAAGACCTGAATAGACATTTCTCAAAAGATATACAGGCAGCCAACAGGCACATGAAAAAGGGCTCAGCCTCACTAATCATCAGAAAAATGCAAATCAAAACCACATTGAGATACCACCTAACCCCAGTAAAAATGGCCATCATTAATAAAACAATCAACAACAGATGCTGGTGAGAGTGCAGAGAAAAAGGAATGCTTTTTCATTGCTGGTGAATGCAAACTAGTGCAACCTCTTTGGAAAACAGTGGGGTGATTTCTAAGAACTAGAAATTGACATTCCATATGACCTAGCATCCCCCTACTGGGAATATACCTAGAGGAACTCAAATCATTCTGCAAAAAAAGATACCTGCACACACATGTTTGTTGCAGCTCTAATCCACTAGCAAAAACACGGAGCCAACCGTGCTGCCCATTGAAACCAGACTGGATTAAAA